CAACCGAGGAAAAATCCAATTCGATTCTACAAATACGACTGGCAAGTGTCAAGCACAAAACTAACACTGGTAAAATAGCGTCAAGTTTACTGGGTGCATGACCCCATGTCCAACCCATCGAATTGTCTCTCCAACCGATGGTATTCTGGCACACGGCCTTGCTCCCAAGACCGGACGAATTAGCCCTAATACCCTCTGCATGTTTTTTTTGCCCTTGACTATTTAAATAGAAAATTATTCAGGCGGGTTATTGGACTCTAGATCACCGGTGCGTGGACCACCGAGATGACAGATCATCCAGATGATTAAGACTGTCCAGTGGAAAAGAAATATATCGGACATGGATTGATATTTTTTGACAGAAGGGAATGGACTGGAGGGTAATCTCCAGGGCAGGATTTACAGGCTCTCTCAATTCAGGTTGAACAATTTAATTATGAGGAAGTATGTTGTTATTATTAATTTATGGGGAATGGAAATTTTAATTTATTGACATTTCCGTCACTGAATATTATGGGTTGGCTTATTATGGTTCTTGAAAGTCATTTCATTCTCGTATTTCATTCTCAACGTAGAATCATCATCAAAATAACATGATGAACAATCAAGGAAATGCGGAGAAATTGTGAAGATAACAATTCACCACAACGACTCGTCATACTCCCGTGTTCACATAATTTTCATGGCAAAGAAAAAATGAAAATAAACGATAACTGAATAAAAAATAATTTGTAAATTAATTTATTCATTCGTTGAAGCTAAAAAAAATTTTTAAATCGAGAAGAATTTTAGGTGGATACCTCTAAATAAAAATTCAGACGACATTGAAGTCAATTGAATTTATTCAATTTTCAGATATTTATGTGAACAATAAAAAATGGTCAATTGAGCCGACGTTGCGCCAACCATCGGCTTTAAGTATTGATCGTGTACTCAGAGCCAAGCCCCTCTCTGTGCTCTCTACGTAGTAGCTTGATAAAATTACTCTAGTTATCAGTGACGAAGTAAAAAATACGTTAATCAAGACTACTTTGATATTCATTACTCCACGATAAAACCCAGTGATGCTTATTGTGAAGAAATATCGTGACAAAGTTGTCATCATTTTGTCTCGAGTGACAGCACCGCCTTCTCTCTCATCTCTCTCATCTCTCTGTCCTTCTATTCCAATTATAATCATTTTCAAACAATCGCATATTAAACCTTGTGCCTTTGCCCGCCCGACATTTCGCCACCCAAAAATCTCAAATCAATCATTAACGCAGCAATCAAATGCAAATTCCAGATTTATCCCAAAAATTTTCCATTTTCCATTTTTTACAATGTCCCAAAATAATTTTACCATCGGCCCTTCATCGTTTTTAAATTTATTTTTCGTAATTTAAACTACTGGAATGTACTTGCAAAAATATGTTTATAATTAAATGTCTGGTGTAATTAATTCCATTACATTTTTTATGTATTTTTTATGTTGCTGATATTAATGAATTTAATTAAAATTTTTTGATAATAGATGAATCGCGGAGTGAAAAGGATTATTATTTGACATTTGGTTTATCAATTCGGCATGTGCAATCAATTAATTACCCTATCAAATTTTTGGTTGCCCTTTTTTAAATGAACTTTCTTCATTATGAAAATTGAATAAAAATTTATTGAAATCCAGATTTACTGGTGACATTGATCGGTCTTTCCATCAAGATGACAAAGAATCAAATGAATGAATGACTCCCCCGGTCTAGAGTCAAGAGGAAAGTAATTCTGGCGGAAGGATGCACGATGATCGTTCACCGGAAGTAACCAGCGTACATCAACTGTATCAGTCTGGCCAGTAATTGCGCAACTAAGTCACTCATCAAATCTCATTACACCGATAAATAAATATATTTCACCCAGGGTCTGATATCCTTGACAGAACAAAGTGGTAGATATTCTCCAGGGCAGTGACTTCCAGGTTCTCCAGGGTCCAGATTAAATAATAATATCATAATCCCTTCTTTAAATATAATTATCATGTTTAGAATTAAATTCTGAGCACCTGGAGATAATCTGAAAAAATATCTGAAGACCCAAAAAAAAAATTTCCATTCAAGAAAAAAAATACTTCTGCCAAGTAAAGAAGAATATAAATAATTGGTTTTGTGTTGGTAAAAAATAATACATAAATGAAAAATAATAATGAGTACTTGTTATTCTGGTATTTGGCAAAATGATATTTTTTTCTCATTATCCAACGTGACGTGAGTGTGCGTGAGTCGCATAATGAAAATGCAAGGTGTTTTTTTTTTTGACGCATTCGTGTTGGAAAAATGACAAATTAACTAATGGGCTCTTTGATAATATTATTCAGTCGGTGGGCGATAGACTGGGGGAAGTCAAGGGGAAGTGAAAAGACCGTCTACATAACACAAGAGTCGTTCACCTACGATTGTATAAAACTTTACTTAGCAAATGGCCGTGCGAAACGTGTCGTGAGATTAATCCATTTTTATGAACAAATAAAAGATTGATAAAACCTGTTGAAATTCATTAGTTCAGTATTTTTTAAATCAAACATAGAAATCACAACAATTCCAGTATCATACCTGAAAAAATGATTGCAAAAAATCTGAGTGACAATTTATTTTCGAATTTCCCAGATCAACGTGAATATTTAAATAATTAATCTATTAAAGCATTCAATGAATTTTCACGGCAAGTAAATAATTACGCAAAATAAATAAAAGGATAAAATCATGAAGTGGGAAATTGTCCCATAGAATTAGCGAAATTTCTCTCATTTCTGCCATCGGATGAAGAAATGAAAAAAGCCTGATGAGAAATTTCGTTCATTGTCTAAATTGATGCCACAAGGATACACCATCAACGCATTCATGATTGCATTGTGGTGAAACATCCCACCCACAGCAACGACACCTCTGACCCATTTATATTTTCAATTAAGATTATCAACATTCAGCTGACAATGAAGTGTTTGTCTGAACTATCGGTGATCGAGTTGCCCAAACACATTATCACACACGCCCCCTCATGTGCCTGATACAAGAGCAGGAGGCGGATAATGTCTGGATATCACCACCCCTCAACTTTCCACATGGTAGAATTTAAAAAATCAGCACAAAAATTATATTTAAAATGAATCCCAACGAATGAAATAAAACACTGGAGCTTGTTCACTATTTTTCTGTAACCCATTGAGCATAAATCACAGAGAATATAAATTGTTGGGATGGTAAAGCCCCGGGGGTACGATTGCATCAGGGAAAAGTGGAGGAAGGTATTCCAGAACGAGTCACGACCTGGGGCCAACGACAGGACAGGCTTGCCGGAGTAATCCTGTACCTCGGTTCAACATCGGCAGGCCCTCTTGTGCCAACCATTTATCCCATTCTGCATGGCAACACTTCCGATCCCTCATTAACACACCCACTAAAAAAGTACATCATCCATTGCACCGGAGAAAAATACAGGAGAAAAATACCGGAGAAAAATACCGGGTAATACTGACACCTGAAGTCAAAAAAAAATTCTATTCTTCATTTTTATCATTCTCAATGCATAAAAAAAAATAAATAAATCAATCAATTATTAATATCATTATATTAATCTAGGTAATTATTGCAAGCGAAGAAATTTATGTACGTGACGAGATGAATTATTATTTTTAGTATATCTGGTTGACATTCTGCAATTTAAAAAATTCAATGATTTTTTAGATGAGGGTAATGATTGGAATTTATCGTGGCTGTTGTAATTTTTACTGTTTAATTCACTCGATGGAGCTCTGAATTTATGAAACCGGTGAAAAGCGTGGAATTTTACGTTCTCTGCACGCGTGGGTGGACAGATATAACACGTCCAACGCAAAATGTTCACCAGAAGTTCTCCATGCACGCAAAGCTGTTGATGTCACTGACTCGAAATTGTATTCCACGAGAATTTGTGGGGTAATTCCAGGGGCTCTGGGGTAACTCATTACTCTTCATACATCCCGATTAAATATACGCTCTATTTGTTTACTCTATTTATTTTTAGGTGATAAATATTCACGAATGTCAGGCCCTGGAGAATTGAAATAGTCATGAGGCAATAATTCAAGTCAGATATTCTATTCAAATTTTCAGCAACTCATTACAAAAAATTTGTTTTATTTTCCCTGTAATTCAGGAAATTGTCTGTGTAAGATAATTTCAGGTGATCGATATCACGGATTCTCTAACGATTTCTCCAATCAAATAATCTGTCATCTCTCGCAATTAAATATAACCGGTGACGAGTGAAATGCAAAAATCCAAATGCATCTGATGAATAAACATTTTTTCCTCAGTTGACAAATATTTTATTCACTTCCTCGTAAGCGTAAAAATGAAGTATCACCCATTACCCCGAGCACACACACTCCAGATAAAGAATCATTTGTCGTCCCGAGTGAAAAAATAAAATGAAAAAAAAAAAAACGGATACGAGTTGAAAATACACACGAGAAGAATGGAGGATATTCTTTAATTGTTTTAATTATTCTGAGGGTCGAAACGTGAGACTCATAAATCGATCCAATGATCACATCGAAAGACTCCAATCGATCACAGATTCCTTCCGGTTCTCTCGATATTTCACCGAAATTTCAGCCGTTTCGATCCGTCACGTCATTCCATCCCTTCATTCGAAAATTAATTGCAATAAATTCGGGAATTTTGTCGGTAGAACATCCAATGACACGTATTCTACAGAAATTACGATATTTTTCTCTGATTGCACATATTGCTCTCGTGAGTGAATTTAACGCAGGTCTGACGCTCAAGTATGCGCTCACTTTCCCCAGGAATAGGACTCGGCCATCACCAGATAATTCGGAATAAATCGTCGCTGTTTACCCAGTGAGATTTCTTTTTTTTTCCCCACGGAATATTTATTCTTCACTTGAGGATTATTTTGAAGGGATTCACATGTGCTCTCGTCCCTGACCTCAATAGCAAAAAGTGAATGAATGGCGAACAAATCGCGGACATAACCATTCTCCCAGGTGAAAACAATCTTATGTGATCGGATGGCTCCGACGACCTTGACGCCAAATTAATGACTTTTATTACTGCAAACCCCACCGTGAATCATATTCCAATATTCAGGGCGACAGGTTTTTTTCATGGAAATATTTGTGTAAATAATCCTGAATTATTTCCCTGTTATATTTTCCTCGGGAATTCGTTGCAGAAAATATCTCCCGCAACCTGAGGAATTTTCTTGTCGAGGTTGAGGGAGTTTACTTGTTATTTTTTAAACAATAACAAGTTGCGATAATTCGCTGGGTGTGTTTTTGACGGATGTCGAAATTTTCTAAATAGTGGATATGGAGTGGAGTTATCAGGACGTTATCAGGACATTTTCAGAGTGCACGTGTGATTTGTCCCCAGCCCCAAGAAAAGTCGCTGATTCACTAGTCGAGGGAAAGGAGACGACACGCGCACCAGAGACTTAACAAACTCGAACACCGGGAAAATCGATAGTACTCAGCACACCGAGGGCTTCCCATTCCCATTTCTCAATATCCCATAAAATTCCCGGAATTTCCAAAATACTATTTACCAAAGCAATTACCCATTTGCCCTCAATTACCCCATAGACCTGCGCGCTCCAAAATTCAACTCGACGCCTAAAACACCAAAAACCGGCTAAACTTCCCCGTTAAAACCCCAAAAACCGGTTTTCACCGATTTAGAAATACCCCAAGTATCCAGTCAACCTCAACAGAAAATCACCAACTAAAATAAATATAAAAAAAATCACTCACAGTCCAAGTGTTTCTTCTTGGGTCCAATCATCTCCTCAGTTGTGGCCTTGCACACAGATTTTGCAAGTCCCTGACCGGCAATACTGTGCCTCGCAGCCAGAAGTCTGTCGTTTATGGTTTGTCCCGCCATATCTATCACCACTTGTCGACAAGAAAAATAATTCCAAAAAAAAAAGAAGAAAAAAATGCCCGTCGATATCAACCGATTGACAATTGCACCAATAGGACGGCCCTTTTGTCCAGTTATTCCCGGGGCTCCACCCTTCACTCACTCATCACCACAAATTTTTTAAAAAACCCCTAATCACAGCACAATTACACTTGAACGATAAAAATAAGAGTCACGTCGCCAGTGACGTTAGACTTAAATTTTTCAACCTCTCCTTTCTCCCGTCAATCCGCGATTCCACGATTTCGATGAAAAATCCTCGATTATTATCGCACCCTCCCGCACACCGTCACTCGTTTTGAGCGATTTTTTCGGACGCGTCTGTGAATTTTTTTTCCCAGAATTTTTGAGGTGGATGTGGGAGGGGGGATTTTTAATTGCCCGGTTAGTTTTATAGGGCTTTTTTTTAACGATCGGCTGTTGTGTGAGCCGTGAGCTGGTGCTCGCTCTGGCGCACCGCTTTAACAGCTCAGCTGGACGGACGACAGCTCGACGTACGGCGGCAACCGAAGGCTCCCACGATATTCACTCTTGGAAAATGGCTGCCCCGGCTTCTCCATCCCCTCCTGCCCTCCTATCCCTCCTTCACTCCTTTCCCTCCCCAACGCCCCGGCCAATCCGACCAACAACCCCACCAACCCCACCAACCCCCCCTCCAACACCATCCCCCTTCTTTCCATTTTCCGTCGCGCCAGCTCTCTGCCTCACTCTTCCCCCAACTATTGTCTCTCCTCATTCCTTTCCCGGAGACCAATCCCTGCTGACGTCATACCACTAGAGTCAATTCGATCACTCGTCTCAATGTCGCGAAATCAGACGCGGGATTCCTAGACTGCATGACAATCATTCCACTATCAATTTCTCGATATCACTGAGTTCTCATTTCTTTGGGAAAGGGTAAATAATTTGTAATCACCTAGTATTTGGGTATCGATATTAATTTCTATTTTTGGTTGACAGGTGAATCATCTTATGGGGAAGAATTTTTAATGGATTTTAATGATGATTTATGAATTTATTTTATGAACATCAGTTCATGCTGGGGACGTCATCAGTGAAACGTAAAATCGGAATTCTATCGGATAAATAAATGAAGAATGTATTATTTGGGTTAATCATAGAATTAATTTCTTATTGTGATCATTTGGTTGTATTTTCTTTTGTGTATTGATGAAGGTTTTTTATTTCAGTTGTGAAAACGATATGGGGATGGTTTTAAAGGGCTGTTTTGGAGCAAGAGACGGCCGGGGATTTAAATAACGGAAACACGTTGGGGTAGGGCAGGTCGTGCTATCATCCCGGTGTGAAGAAAAATATCTCGGTTTCAGGTGAAGAGTTATTCATGTCTTTTGAAGAAATTGTTGAAGGGTGAACGTTCTTTGAGGGAGCGATTCTGGGGATAAAATGAGCAGTCGAATCAGGTCTCTGCTTCATAAGAAGGTATATTACATAAATTATGGGAATTTCGGTTCAATTAACCTCACTTTTCCAACAATCGGTGAAGCAGAGCGTCTGCTACTGAATTTTATTAATTGTTCGAATACGAAAAATTGATTGTTTGAATTTGAATAGTTATTGATAAAAAACCCGAACACATGCACCTATTTTCAAAAATCTAGTCATTGAGAAAAAAAATTTCGTAAATGAAATGAATTGAAATAAATTGTTGTTTAATATTTGTGAAGAGAAATTATTGCGAGAGCCAAGTAAAAATCTGGAAATCAATAAAAAAAAATCAGTGAACATTTTTCTTTCAATTTTTCAGCTCCTTCAGAAAACTGGACTGGCAGATCTCCCAATTTTCCAACATTTATCCCTGAAGCTTGACAAAACCACAGGTTCTTTCAGCTACGAAATCCCCTTAAGAACTCCAAGCTACGATCTTCGGAGTCAGTCAGACCTCCTGTCATCCTTGATAATCGAGGACGATCTCTTCTCCAGGATAAATCTAACCCGGCGAAAAAATAACGAGCTCCTCTCGATCGCCCTAAAGAGAGACAGCTTCGTAAAACAAATCCTAGAAAAAAACTCCCACCAAGTGACACCTCCAGACATCACCGATGATAATAAAAAAATAGTAATCGACTTCTCATCTCCAAATATCGCCAAGCCCTTCCACGTTGGTCACCTGCGTTCCACGATAATTGGCAATTACATTTCCAACCTGAACACTTACCTGAAAAAGAATGTAATTAAGTTGAACTATTTAGGAGACTGGGGCACGCAATTGGGATTTGTAATGCTAGGGGTGGACCTGCTGGCGATTCCAGAGGATAAGATGAGGGAGGATCCGATAAAAAAATTGTACGAGGCGTACGTCCACGCGAATAAATTATCAGAGAATGATCCTGAGGTCTTAGAAAGAGCCAGAGAAATTTTTCAAAGACTGGAGAAGGGAGAGGGTCTGCAGCGATGGGAGAGCTTCAAAAATATTACAGTCGAGGAACTCCAGAAGATTTACCAGAGGATAGGGGTGACTTTCGACGAATATCACTGGGAGTCGTCCTATAATTTTTCAAGGATCAAGGGAGTGATTGATCGTATGGAGACACTGGAATTATTAAAGGTTGATGAGCAAGGCAGAAGGGTTGTTGCCATCAGTGATCAGAGGAATCTGCCCATTATTAAGAGTGATGGATCCACTCTGTATGTCACTAGGGACGTCGCGGCTGCTATCGATCGTATGAGAAAATATAATTTTGATTCGATGTATTATGTAGTAGAGTCCGGACAGCATGACCACTTCAATAATTTGGTCAATATTCTGGAGAGGATGGGGTACGAATCATCCAGGAAGCTCCATCATGTCAAGTTTGGGAGGATCTCTGGAATGAGTACTAGAAGAGGAACTGCTGTGTTCTTGAAAGATTTCTTGGATGAGGCCAGGGATGCCATGAGGGAGCAGCAGAAAATTAATGCAAGTGAGTTGAGACATGTTTACAATTGTGGTACATTAAAAAACATTTTTTTTATGCTCACGAGGAAAATTGAGATCACAGGGACGAAGGTGGATTTGAATTCTGAGGATGGGAGCTCGGATATTCTAGGAATTTCAGCAGTCGTTGTTCATGATTTGAAGCAGAGGAGAACGAAGGATTACAAATTCAGCTGGGATGTAGCACTAGATGTGAGTTTTCCTTCGAAAAAAGAAACTAAATTTTTTCAGGAATGGACACCGTACGGAAAAACTAGAGAAAAAAAAATGTAAATCGATCGTACGATTGAAAATGATCGTGAAAATCAATTTCCAATATATCTAAAAATTGTTTTCAAATTTTTTAAGTCAAAAAGTCAAAATCTTTACAACTCTGAATTTTTAACCTACCATAGGCTATTCGACAAAATAGAAAAATTGTAATTATCCCAATTTACCACTTCACTGATGTGAATAAAAATAGATAAAGGGAGAGACTGGTGTAAAACTCCAGTACACTCACTGTCGTCTATCGGGAATAGAGGAGAATAGCGGTGCCACTCTGCCAAGTGAATGTAACCCACAGCTGTTGACAGAGCCAATCATCAATGATCTAGTCAGCGCAATTAGTCAATTTGATGAAGCGGTTGTTTTATCCTATCAGACACTGGAGTCATGTTACTTGGCCAAGTACCTGTTCAATTTGAGGTAGATAAAATATTACGATCCAATTCATATCCACCCATTCAATCCACTTGAAAGCAATTTTTTTTAGCCACACAGTGAATAAGACGATCCAGGAAATAAGAGTCAAGGGTGAATCATCAGATATTGCAGCGCAGAGACTTCTCCTGTATCATTCCACTAGAAATGTATTGAATACTGGGATGAAGCTTCTTGGTTTAAAACCTCTGAATAAAATGTAGAGTTGAATGATTCATTTGTAATTAACAATTGATTACAAGGGTTGGGACGACTATTTAATATTAATTGTCTTCATCCTCGTAAGTCACTTATCCGGTCATTTCCTCTCGTTTGTAAAATGCCCCTGGGATGTGGAATTGCTCTTATAAAATCGTTTATATGCGATTTGATGGCTTCACAACAGCTGAGTTTAACGCTTCTTCCACGTGAATTTACGACGTGCCCCCTCTTGTCCTGGCTTCTTCCGTTCTCGGGTGCGGTAATCCCTCGTAAGAAGTCCAGCTTGAAAATTAAAAAAATGTTTTTGAAAAAAATTTTATATTTATAATTTCTCCTCATTCTCTAAACATAAACTTATTTTTTCCGTTGACAACTATTTAATTCCTCACCAACTCTCATTTTCTCAATCATCCTCGGATCCAAAAAACTGCGAAGCCCCCAGGCGATGCCCCAACGAATTGCTCTGGACTGACCAGATGGTCCACCACCCTCCACGTTCACCTCCACATCAACGCTGTTCTCCATTCCCGAAAAAATCAGTGGAAATATGATCTGCAAGAAAAAAAAACTGAAAAAACTCCACTCACCAATCGAATCTTACTAGACTGAGCTGAAATCTCACCAAAAATGATTTTAAAAAAATTGACAAAGCCTCCTTCCCCAGACAACTATTTCCTTTAACAATAATAAATTATGAATACGTGATTTGAATGGAAAACATAGTCTCCACTAAATAGAAAGAATACACGACCCTCGAATCATCTCTTGTTGCTAGTAATTTTGGAAAGAATATCCGTGAGCATTTTGTTGTTATCGAGCATTTGCGCTTTGATGACCTTGAGCCCCTCCTCATTAGCCCTGACACCAGTGGAGATCTGATTGATTGTACTCTGAGCCTCGCACTCGTTGCTATCATCATTCTGCTGTTTCATCCAGGTGACATGCTGACTGAGACTGATACTGTCATCATCAACGATCGGAGCATTTCTCTGGGCAACTTCATACGCAGCCTTGAGGATCTCCTTGGGAAGCCTCTTCTCGAGAGGATTAAGGGGTTTAACCACCAACACTCTCTTCCTGTTCTCCATGTCAATATCATGATCAGACATCCATTTCCTGAACGTGAAGGGAATGGCATTGTTGTTGAGGACCATCTCCGTGAATAGAATGAGTTTAGTCTGCCTCACGAGTTTCGTCAGCCCCGCGTGATTTCTCAGTCCCTGGATATCATGAACAGCAATGCCCACCAGAAGATTCATCAGAATCACTGTGACAAACACCAGGAACAGAGTGAAGAGGATCTGCGAGCAGACGGAGAGGGGATGATAAAGGACGAATGGTCCATCAGTGATCTGATCAGACTGATTGATCAATCCCTCGAAGTCCAACTCCCCTGCCATCATCGCGAGGACTTTGATCAGACCAGTGAAGGGATTCCCGAAGGACGGCTCGCCCACGAAGATCACGCAGAAGCTGATGGTGAAGCCGATTAGCAATCCAGAATACGCGAGAAGCAGCTTGGCGAATTCGAACTGTATGTGCGTAAACATCGCGACGTAAGTCCCAAAAGCAGGCAATTGTCCGACCATGAGCATGAGATTGGTCCAAGCGCAGAGGATGGCGAATGCACCGACGTAGTTCTGCCAGTCGTACGTTTTGCCGGTGTAGACGAATGATGTCATGAAGACACTGAGAATAACAACTCCATCGAGGACATTGTCAATGCTCGAGAAGTACTGTCTTGCTGACTTGTGAACCATGAAACCGAAGATCTTTCTTGGGATTGTGATGCAGGTGAGGAAGAGCGAGAGGTACCATTCAATCTCAATTACGGTTTTTCGGAAGAGAAAGCCTGTAAGTCGCTTGCTACCGCACACCTTTGATGCCCCAGTGTCAGCGTAATTGTAGCACTTGTAGGCGAGAGCTGTTAGTACGTAGGTTGTCATGCAGATGACTGTCATCGCGTAGAGAAAGATCCTCATGAGGTAGAATTTCCGGATCTTCTCCCATTTGAGATGGAGGAAGGCCATGACGAGGGGATGGGACAGCAGATCCTTCCGGCGCTCTTGGACGAAGGTATTTATGAAACTTGTCTCGCAGGGATTGTTGCTGGGGAAGAGCAGATCAAAATGGAGTCGCATTTCGAATTCTCGATTGTGGGGGACAGGTCGCTTGAGCCTGATTGAGGCGTCGAGTCGTTGTCGAAATACTTGGAGGGACTCTGGGATCTTGCGGAGGATGACGTTGAGAGCGGATAGGCCAGTGCCAGTGGTGGCACTGACATCAGCTCCTGCCCAGATGAGGGTGTCGACGCACTGGCTTTGCTCGTTGAGCGCTGCAATGTGCAGAGGTGTAAAGCCAACTTTGTCGCTTGCATTCACATTGGCTCCATGCTTCAGCAACGACTCCACGAGTTCCGCTGATGATCCAGTGGTCATCACTGCAAAGTGCAGGGGTGTCCTGTGAGCCCGGTCGACGGCATTCACATCTGTTCCAGGTGTATTGAGGATCGCTTCGACGCAGGGAAGATCTTGAACGAAACAAGCAACGTGAAGAGGGGTCTCACCGTGATGATTTTTCAAAACAACACTGGCTCCTCGCTCAAGAAGAAGTATCACCACCTCCAGGGATCTGGCTCGGATCGCGCAGTGGAGGACTGGTTCGGTATCCTGAAGATTCGCATTGATGTACAGCTTGGCGCCGTTGTCCAGAAGAACTTCAGCAGCTTCACGAGAATTTCCAAATGCCGCAAAGTGCATGGGTGTATAATTACTGCTTCCACTTGCGTAATTGACATCAGCACCGCGTGCAATCAGGTGCTTCAGGCATGAAACACTTCCGGATAATGAAGCAGCAAGGATGGCATTGATGCCGATGCAAGGCTCGACGTAATCGATCTGCGCACCGGCTGCTTCCAGCTTCGGCAACATATGGTCTAGGTCCCGAAAACACGCCCATATGTACGCGATGTTCTTGAATCGGCTTTCACAATCTCCAAGAACAGTTGCATCTATATCCGGTGAGTCAATCTCCCCCTGCTCCATCTCCAGTAACTTTTTCAGCTCTGAAACACTGACTACCGACCACATTGCGCTCTTCAGACTCGGTCCACTCACTTCGACGTTCCTCAGGGCCTCGAGATTATCGAAGAACAGGGACTCGTCGACCGGTGGTGGTGAACCCGCGTCAATCTCCACGTGCGCGATCGACTCCTCGGACGGATCTGTTACGATAACTTTTTCAGGCATATCACGCGATCGTGACAATCTCGCTGATCGGTATGTCGATGCCATTCGCACTGACAGGGGATCCCGGTTGTTCCTCATGGCGTCTGTCAGCGTTGCCATGGAGTAATACCGCGGTCTCGGGGATGGATTCACAGCGTTTGGATCCATGCTTGTAAAATCGTTTGGTTCCATTTGCTCGATGATCGATTCAATGATCGGTTCACCGATCAGTTCAACAATCAATTCAATGATCAGTTCAATGAATCAACGCGAGGTCATTAACACCACCTCATGCGCCACTTTTTTTTTTATTATCAGCTACTATCGGTGCTATTTTCAATGAGTTCGATGTGACGAGTTAACGCGACCGGTTGACAATAGACTGAAGAGGAATGGCGCAGCCTCACTCTCTTGGTCACTCCCTACCTTAATTCTTATCCTCCACCACTGGTATATTGTCGTGGTACGTCATGACTTCCACACTGGATCGTTTCGATCGGATTTAATGTAACTCTTTACCAACCATGCCCATTACTGCGTATGGCGACCTCGATGTCATACCGAGAGAAGACACCGGTTAACAGTCAAATTATTCCAATTTCACGGGTCTTTCGGAATTTTGCATTAATTTAAACTTGAAAATTTTTCCCAGAAGAGATGATTTCCAGTAATCAGAGCTAAATCATTTGGACTCGTATGATTATTCCAACGAACAATTGAGACGTATTATCGGTAATCATCTGATCTTATCATCTACATCGGTGATTATTGTATTTTTGACGATTTGATTAATTGACTTGACGAATGAATTTCTTCGGGGTCTGTAATTACCTTTATTGAACGCCATAATTGAAATGACTCCTTGGTAAATACGAATGGTCGCGGTGATTACTGAATAGCGATGACAATGAGATTGATTATTCCGTCGAGTTTATTCAACTTCCTCCCTATTTACTCATTCTTACGGGGTTTTACAAACAAGACACACTTGTCACTTTATATCTTGTCATGAATATTTTATATTATTTCAACACAAGAATTTCTGTAAATTGCGACACTTCAGATGGAGGATAATGGGAGCACGAATTTTATTTCGCGATAAATTCGACGTAATCAGATTATACGTGACTCCGAGTGATACAAGGAGTTGCCAACAAAAATGCCAACAAAAATAATCGAAGACTTATTCAAATTAATAGTATTCTAAATTAAACAGAAATAAAAAATTCCATATTTACATGTTAAACCGTTAATTATCCTGATTTCAACAATTAAAATATCTCATTGCGCGTACCAACACTGAAATTGGATGAAAAATAAAAATCCTTGAATCATTTTGTGACGAATATTTATTAATGAAAATATTTTAATGTCTTTATACAATGTCATTGCGTTAAAAAAAGGAGTGAACGCACGGAGAACCGAACAATTCAAATTCGCCAGAAAGTAATTGTACAAAAATCTACCCCTTCTCATGATTCTCCTCCTCGATCACGTCCTCCTTATCCTTACCCGTTGAATTATATTTCTTATCAGTGGCCAGCACCGTAACAAGTTCCTGAATCAATTGTCTATTAGCCTCGCATATGCTAGTTAATTCGATCATTCTCTCCTGGAGTCTAGTAGCAGCTCTACCATCGAAATCATAATCCATCTCAGTATTGACATTATCAATATAACGAAAAGCTGTTTGTGGCTCGCTCTTTCTCCTATACGAATAAGCATTGGAGCTCCTCTTCGAGGACAGAGTATTGCTGATGAATTTTTTATGCTTGGCAACCCTGTGCGCCGCCACCAGGACATCCCTGGGTAGTCTATTCTCCCTGGGATTGAGTGGTCTGACAGTGAGAACAGCTCTCAGAGGTGATGGAAGAACAAGCGTTGTCCAGCTGAGAAGTTTCACCATTTTATGAGGAAGCAGAGCCAATAAGAGAGCACTCTCCACATCGCAGATGAGTTTAGTCTGTCTCACGAGTTTCGCCAGACCCGCGGTCTTCTGCAGCCCCTTGATATCGTGCACCGCAATACCAACCAGCAGATTCATCAAAACAATCGTGACAAACAGGAGAAACAGGACAAAAGACAGTTGGGCTGAGACCTGCAGGAGAATCCACGAGGTGCTTCCAACATCGACATGTCTCCCAACGTCCTCTTCACCAGGAAAAAACAGCTCTTCAAAATCCAATTCCCCGGTCATCATTACCAGGACCTTGATAAGCCCGGTATGGGGTGAGCTGAAGGACTTTGATCTTGGAAATATGACGCAGAAGCTAGCGGTGAAGCCGACGAGAAGACAAGCGTAAGCAAGCAGCAGCTTGAAGACTTGTGCTTGAACACTCGTAAACATGGCAACATACGCCCCAAACATGGGTAATTGACCGATCATTAGCATCAGATTGCTCCAGCCGCACAACACTGCGAATGCACCAACATGGCTCTGCCAGGTGTAAGTTCTCCCAGTGTAAACGAAAGAAGTGGCGAAGACACTGAGTATAACACACCACTCGACAATATTCTCAGGTTGCATGAAGAATTGTTGAACCGAGGGGTACGTCAGGATTCCCGTGGCCTTCCTCACCCCTTCCAGAACCGTGAGAACAACGAGGGCATACCACTCGACCTCCAGCACCTCAGGGTGTCTATGAAAGAAACCCTTGAGACCCGTTGAATTGCCGCACAATGGTAGACTCGCTGTTTCGTCCACCTGACCGTGCGACTCGTTGTAGCAGTTGTGTGCCAGTGCTGTCATCACCCACGACGTCAGGACGACCACGTACATAAGATAAAAGAAAAGTCTACCCACGTAGTACTTTCGAATCTTCTGCCACTTGAGATGAAGAAACGATTGACAAAGTGGATGCTCCAGTATCTCCTTGTACCCCTCCTTGACAAAAGTCCCCAGATAACCAATCTCACCCTGTCCCTTGTGCTGCAGAAGAGGATGAAAGTCAATTCTCAGCTCCATCTCACCAGCTGCTGTACTCTGCTGATGGAGTGTAATAGATGCATCGAGCCTCTGCTTGAAGATGCACAATGATGTCGGTGTTTTTCGTAGAATTATGGACAGGGCTGTTGTTCCTCCTTTTGTTCTTGCACTCAAATCAGCCCCGTATTGGATCAAGACGTCAACACACTGCGACAACTCATTCAATGCGGCAACGTGCAGGGGTGTATATCCGTACTTGTCGGCCCTGTTAACATCCGCTCGCCAACCTATTAGAAATTCGGTAACGTCGTAAGCTAGTACTGATCTACCAAGTGCCAAATGAAGTGGTGTTCTTCCATCATTGTCATCGACATTGGGATCACACGAACCATTGCGCAGAAGTGCCTCAACACATTCCAATGAGTGTGACCTGGCAGCAAGGTGAAGCGCCGTTTGACCTCGATGATTCTTGACCCTGACATCAGCGTGATTTTTAATGAGTATCTCAACGTTATCCGTGCAACCACCCTCAGCAGCAAGATGCAGTGCAGTATCACCTTTTCTCGTTGGTAAATCAACGGCACATCCGGCGTCTAATAGTGTCGACAAGCACGACGGATCGCCACGATCAGCTGCATGGTGAATTGGCGCAAGACCAGTGGAGTCTAAACGATTTAACGAGGAATTATTTGGAGCTAACAGAGTCAACACGTCTTGTGAATTGCTTCTAGCTGCTGCATGGAGAGCACTCTCATCGGACTGCATGGACTCCTGACTGAATCCTGACTCGAGGAAGTACCTAGCAACACCTAGAGAATTGCCGAATGCTGCGTAGTGAAAGGGTGTGTGGATCTTGCTGTAATTGACAATTGCCCCATTGGTGATCAAGTACTTCACACCCTTCAGACAATCAGAATAAGCGCACAGGTGGAGGCCAGTGAGACCGCGCTCCTGCTCACTGTAATTTAGATCGGCTCCAGCCGAGTGAAGAATCGGGAGAAGCTCGGCCCGATTCAGATAGCAAGTATAAAGCAACAGAACGTTTATCTCGTTCTTCTTGCACGTCTTGAGGGTATTCTTCAGGTTCTCCACATCATCCAACTGTCCCGTCTCGAGATCCTCGATCAGCTGCATCCTCCCACCAATTGTCCTCATCTGCTCAGCCAAAAGTCCTGTAATAATGTCCCGTGACACGAAGAGAATGCCATCGCCGTCATCGGTGATTGATGTTTCACTCATGCACATGGAGTAGCAGTGGGGCTCCTCCACGGGCGGTGGTTTTCCATAATCCATGCATTCACCAGGATCCCACGTATCGTCGGCATTCTCCTCAGCATCGATCGATGATTTTTTCGATGCAAGCCACCGCGTCAACAGCAGAGACTTATTGGAACGGTATCTACGGCTTCCTGGGCTCGACACCGCGTGCGGACTCGAATAACTCTGCTCCAAGGTCACGCGTTTACGAGATGGCGGGAGAATTGGTGCGCTGGGACACCTGTCCCCGGCTTTCATTGACTTCATCGATCAATTTCAACCGACTGCAAAATTACACATTCTTTACTCGTATTACCATTGATGATTCATTATACCCGGAAATAATTCCACGTGGAAATCACTCGAACGGGATATACCAATGACCTTCAATCAGTCTTAGACATACATGGGGATTGTGAAAGTGGAGAATTCTAATGCCACAACCACGGTCATGAGACTTTTATTCTATTCAATTATTCTTTTTGAATCCAAAGTGCTAATGGATGTGTTATTGCTGAATTTAACTGGAGAGAGAAAGAGATGGTTTGGTAATTGTAATTGGAGGGGGGAAGAAGGGCTAGAGGGAGTACTGACAAGTATTACACCTAAAAACGTCATTGCAAACACGCGTTTCATACGAGAAGATTAAATGGACGAAATGTCATTCTTGGCTACGAATGTCAAGTGGAAAATCGGGCAAATAAATTGCAGACGACGCTCCAGTTTATCGGGATGACTACGGGGATGAGGAGATAAGGGGGAGGGTATTAAAGGAAGGAGGTACCGTGTATTTACGTTTATGTGGACGATTCAGTGGATAAGAGGGGGATGGCCAGTGGCTTCGAGAGCTATCTCGACATGTCAATTCGATATTTATTTTCGGTGGTATATGATAGCACAGGATTATCAGGAGAATGCCGAGGTGATCAGGTATTAATCTGATTGATTATCGGGTTGGCATTGATTTTCGGTGATTATGAGAATTATGAGTGATGAGATTTTGGATAATCATTTTTTTTTTGGGGGGGTAAAAGAGGGTGGGGGGGTCGTTCTAAAGGACTAATCGAGATTAATTCACGACAGTCACCTTTTAATGGGGATACCATGGCGGTCCTTGAGACGTTAGTCTGGTGGTAATCCTTTATTTTCTGTTTGAACACTTATATTGACGTTTGGTTGCACGATCTTGATCGAATGATCTCACGTCTCACTGTGAGTACAGCCATTCGACGACTGGGATGGAATTACGCGTGGGTAATATCAAAGTGGTGTACTTTGTGCGTTGAAAGGATCAACGCGAACCGGTCACAATCGCTGGCGACAATCGACTGAAACGATTTCATCGGGGAAGATGTTCTCTGGGGGAGGGACACACTATTTGAAGTTCGCGGTTTTTTTTATTTTCTTTTATTCATTTTTCTTTTTTGCGGATCGGGGGTGAATCGTCGGGGGGAGAGAGAGGTGTCGTGATTCACCGTTTGATTTATTAGCGGGATTTTCTGGAGGTTCGGGGGAATTGCGCAATCGAATTCTTGATGATGTGGCGGAAAAGATTTTTCAGGCAAGCGTTCGTGGATTCTTTAGATTTTTAGTGGTGTTTGTTTTTTTTACTTACCTGGTGTTTTTAAACAGTCGAGCATTTTTTTTTCAACACTGCGCGGAATCGCCGATGGTTTTGATATTTTAAAACGAATCATTCACATAATTCCAAATTCGATGGAATAATTCACATCAATTTAACTCTCGGAATTATAATATAGTTTCTTCAATGCGGAAAATATGAGATTTCAACTCGATGTATACTATACTATGCGTTTGTGTATTTTTTGTATGATAAAAAACGTACTTGTTCACGATGATGAATTCTTTCGAAGTAGGTGATATCTTTGGAGTTGATTTTTATCTGGCCTGAGCCATCACCCCAGAGTTTAACTTCCGCCGTTGCAGTTTTCTGTCTACATTCTGTAAAATTATCATTTGTGGAATTAATACAAAATTTCAGTCTTCAGGGAAGAAATTTCGATGACAAATGGCTCACGTGATACTACGACGTAGGGTCTTCCTTGATCATTATACTGCAGCTGAAATAAAACAGTTTTCGGTGAAAAATTATGAAAAAAATTAATTGCAATACCTATGAGAACCAGAAAGCATGTGTTTACCGGGGGAATCACCAGGCCTCCGACTTCCGCCTTGCGTAGTTTCCGGAATCGCATGAGGAAATCCTCGCAGACAGCAGAATACGGATGATCTGCCAGGCGCTGAGCTGATGCTATGAAGTAATTGTACTGAAAAATTATGGAATTGAAATAATTTTATTGTTCCATTTCACTGAATAGTGTAGACTAATCAAATAATAACATCAATTTAATTAATTGATTTCAATTAAAAAATTGAAATTTGCTTTGCTGATTACCTGTCTCTCCGCCAAAGGCTCCAGAAATATTTTCTCCATATCATCTTGTGATAACCAAGAGGATGAAATTAAATCCCTGGAAAAATCGAGGACTCGTTAAATTATTCATTTCAATTTTTTCGGCTAAAATATAGAATGGGACTTACATTTTATTCTCGGGAGTTGGCTGCAACCCCTGACGAATCTCATTATCCTGCATCTTATCCAATTGCTCCATGTGTTCGACTAGATCCTGATTTACATAAATAATCAACCAAGTATTAATCTACGATTCATAAAAATTATTAACAAAATTATGAAGAGGGGTGGCTCAAAATTTTTATTAAAAAAATAATTAATTAAAACTGTTGGGACTAAAATTTTTAAATCTTACTAACTTACATAAAGAGCTTGATAAAAATTAGGGGTTCTGGTATAAAAGAGGAAATGAAAGGGCCTCCCCTCTTCGTCAAACTGTGCAGCTTTCTTCGCTGGAAATATCTTTTTCGGATCATCCATAATTGGCCGTGCTCTGGGCTCGAACAAGCCAGACGGAAACAGATACTTGAGGGCAGCCTATGGTAAAACAAAACCAAAAAATAATTAAATTAATTAATTCCCCAAGTGTATGAATATCTCTACCATGAAACTTACGTTCACGTCGTCTTGGGTGAATGTTTCTGCGGGCTGTCCCATCATATTAGCAAGATGTCTCTTTCCAACATCGAATTCTCTACTTTCTTTGAGGATAAATTCCTCTGTGTGACAGAAAAAATAAAAATTACATCCCTAAAATCGCGGTTTATCTTGAAAACTTTTCTTCTTGCAATTCTTATTACCATATTCCTTAGCTCGCTGGATATACGCCTTCATGGCTTTGCTGATTTTCTTCGGACGTAATTGGGGCTCCCCTTCGTGAATTATATGATGCATATCTGTTTGACTTACACATCTCGATATTATTCCCTGAAAATAGCAATCAAAACATTGAATAATAAATTGTTCACATGAATTATGATAAAATGGAGGTTAGGATAATCTCCGTTGACTTCTTGGGTAGATAAACATTGCCAGGGGTCTGATTAAATTTTAAAAATTTAATTACCTTTGGGGTATTCCGCAGCAATGAATTGTTCCATGAATTATAAACATTTTTCACTGCACTCCGGTTAAATCCATGTCGCCCCAGGAGGGCACATGAACCGGAGAGCGCCATTTTTTATGATGAATGAGAGCGCAGGTGCATCGTAATATTTTCAAAATTTTTATTTTGTGTAGAATTCGTGTAGAATAAAATAATAGAATCATCAGCAATGAGAAAAATACGAAAGCAAAAGATTTTTACTTCGGGTGGGAGAATAAAATTTTTCAAAAAATCAATTCCGTTTTCCCTGTAGATTATAATATTCATATAATAGAGGTATAAAATAAAATACAATACATTCTCTATTGATGTGAAAAAAATCTCGATGACTAATCAAAGAGAAGTTCTCAAGGCATAAAATCGTAATTCGTAACATCGTCAAATTGCTGGTTCTGCTGGTTCGTTGGTGCCATTGATCTTGCGCCCATTTGACCCCGAGGGCCAACCATCTGCTGCTGCATCCCAAGGACCTGTTGTCGATATTGCTGTGGTTGTTGCTGCAAACGAAAATTCATTAGCACAAAGCATTGAGAAAATATTATTGATAAAGATATTAATTAGAAATACTCACTTGTTGCAATAAATTTCGTAATCCAAGATTGTTCGCCATAGTGGGTCGCATCATCCTCTGAGTGTTGGGCTGTTGCCCAATTATTCCAGAATTTGCACTCAATGCCTTCTGCGCCTGTTGAATCTGAATATTTCAATAATAAATTCATCAAATTTATCAATAAGTCGCAGAAAATCAGTTCTGTGATATTCCGGTGACATTTATATGGGCGTACCCATAATTGTAGAAGATTTCTACTTTTGGAGAATAAAAAAATCAAATTAAATTTTGAACGCACCTCCATTTGTAATTTGTACTGCATTTCCTGCTGCTGTGCTGCCTCCAAATTTTGTTGAGTCTGAAATTCAAAGAAATATTCATCAATAATTTGACTGAAGGAAATATATTTTTTGTCAGTGTAATTTCTAAATAACATACATCCAGTTGAGTTTGGTAATGGGCTTCCTGCTGCTGTGCAGCTTCAAGTGTCTGTCTCAACTGATGGATTTTCATGAGATTCTGTTGCCTAGCCATATCCATCCCATCAAAAGTCGGTCGTTGCTGCACCATCATCCCCTGAACTCCACCACTGACAGACTGTTGCTGCATTCCCCCAGATTGTATATGAATTATCTGATTCTGAGGAGTTGCATTGGCCAATCCCTGCTGAGGATTATTGGCAGGGACGACGTTTTGCGTGATCTGTCCACCTCCCATAGCTATCGTATTAGTCTGCGACATGAGAATACCTCCTTGTGATATCGGTGATGATCCTGGAATCGTCCCAGACACGTTGCTACCAGGTTGTCCAGCGCCGCCCTGTGAATATATCTATTTTTCTCGTGGGTATTCACACTATCCATCTTCTTCATAATTTATTATATGAGACATTTACAAAAATTCTGTAGCTATTTGTGACCTTGACATATTTATCTTCTCTATCTTGATTAAAACCTCGAATGATTTTTTAAAATTTCGTTCTAAATAAAAGGAAAACGTAAAAAAGTCAAACTCACATGATTTTGCCTCAATAACGCTTGGTTATTCTTCTGCTGCTGAATGACCTTTCGCAAGCGTTCGACGAATCCAGGCTGATCATTCGGAATGAATCCCAGGTATGCCCTCTTTTCCACAGTGTAGAGTAGAATCAAAACCTTGATATCACAATTTGGGAGTGTGGGAGAAGCGGGGAAGTGTACGCAACCCGCGAACCCAGCACTCATGATTTTTGTGAGGGAATCGAGTGCTTCGCATGGAGTGGGATGAAACAGGACAGACTTGGAGTTCTTCAGGTATGCTCCACCGATGTTGCCGATCAGTAGCTTTGGCACCAGTTGAAGCAGCACCTTTGGTGGCCACGAATCGGCCTTCAACTCTGGCTCACCATCCTTGGTGTTAGCTGATACATGGCATGGAACCTGGAATCATACGTAAGTTTATGAAATAATTTTTCTTCCAAGGATATCCACAAAAAATTGCCAGCAAAAAATTATTCAAAAGTTTACGATGAAAAAACAGAAGTAATTTTATTCTAAATAAATATAAATTTATTATTCATAAAAATATAGAAATATGTATTGATGGGAACGAACCTGTCTCGTCTGTTTCTGTGGATCACTAGGATTCCTAGCTTTCTCCGACCACTCGAGCATCCCATGCCAAATAGTGGGCCTCTCCCTACTAGGGGGTCCAATCTGGACATTCCCCCCAGGATTATGACCCATCTGCTGAGCAGACGATACAGCAGTTGGATGAGCAGCGGCGACACTCTGTTGTCCCTGATTAGAAATAGTCTGGCTCATAACACTCGACGAAACAGCCTGATTTTGACCAGCTGGTTGCTGACTCTGCATACTCTGCATTGGTCCCTGTCCCTGCTCCTGTGGCTGTCCCAGTGCCTGCTGATGCTGTCCCTGTGCTGTTTGTTGAGAGGTCTGTACCTGTAGCTGGCCCTGTCCCTGAGAGTTGCCAGTGATTGGCGATTGATTTGGCTGTCCAGTCGCTCCCCCTTGACCACTCATGACAGATCCATTAGCATCCATTCGCTGATTAAATTGAATATTGAGACCAAGAGACGATGGGGGCTGTGTCAGTTGGGCTATCAATGCACTTCCTTGATTATTACTCTGCACACCTCCACCACCTGGAGGAATAAATTGGCCCTTCCACCGAGGCTGTGGTGCTCTTGCTGCATGGTAATTCGGTGGTCCAGCCAGTTGTGGATTGAATACAGGTCGTCCCGGATTTATCGTACCAATTGGCGGTGCCACCGACTGATGGGGATTCAGTGTAGCTGGAGTCTGATTTCTAAAAGCTGGATTCAGTGGAGCCTGGGACTGAGTTGTCTGGGACATATTCTGACCTGCCTGATTCGTGTTCGGACTGTCATGACTCTGCAATGGACTCAGGGGAATCTGTGCAGCGCTGGCTGTCTGGTGAACACCTCCACCAATTGGTGGACTCACTGGACGCTCCTTCAGGTTATAATTCCTCAGGAGCACCAGGTGGCGAGGATCCTTGGCGTAGTTTTTCGTTTGAGAGGTCTGGAGGTCACCACCAGCTTTCTCAAAGAGCTTGAAGAGCGCTGGGATCTTTCTAGGGGACAGGATCGAGAGGATTATGTCGCGTTCCTGGAATACAGCTGCTAAATTCTCAACGGTGTGCCCAGCAAATTTGTGGGACTCCTGGACGACGGTTTGGTAAGGGGGTGAGTTGCAGACAAGGATGCAGTGTTTCTGGGCATTTGTATTGGGTTCACGTTTTATCTGGAGGTCCTCGAAGCAGAGGAGGGCGGTTGCAAGGCCTTCGCCGATATTTGCGTGGGACTCACCCTTGCCACCGACCATTTCTAGACGCTCCAGGGAGGAGAGGAGCTTGTGGGGATTTGAAAATGGACCCCTCGTCGTGGTTGTCGGTGAAGGGAGACAATCGGCTGCATGATACACCACTATTCCGTAGAGGGTTGTACTATTCTGTAAACATTTTGAGAAATTATTATTTTTTTTTCAGGTGTCTTTAAATAAAAAAAAATATTGAGTATAGACCTCTGAAACATATTCTCGATCCTCGATGGTGCCCTGGCTGAAGTACTCCACCGTTGGTATCAAGTAATTGGTCTTCAGATCATTGAGGTAAGCCCCATTGACAGCTGTTCCCTCGATCACGAAAATAACGTCAACCTGAGGACCGTGTTCACTTGGCACAGGCACCATTATTTTTTCCTCTCAATATGACTCAATCCTCAACACTTTGCGCTACGTATTATTAAATCCACCGTTTCAGGTTCGTCTAGACACACGTCATTTAGCATCTCAACCCCCAGATATCTGCCATTTTTCGACTGTCAACAAATTTTCTATCAAGTTTCGTAGAAAATGCTGATGCTCCCCAATTTTTAGAACATCTTTGGATTTGACAAAAGCTCGAAAAACTTAGAAACGCGGGGCAAGATGGAAAATAATTTTTGTGGCGTCAGTGAAAACGCGGCTTGACATTTCGAAAGCAATTTCACTGGAAGACATCCACTTGCAGCAATAAAAAAAATCGAGAGGATATGGTGTAACTCAATCTGTCATTCGACTGTAAAAAATGTACTTGAAGCCATTCTGAAAGTGCTGGAGACACTTGCGACTCAGTTTATATTATTCCAATAATTATTCCATTCATCATGGGACCAATCGTGTATTTAACAAGGAAAGAAAGTATTTCTGCTTGTCACAGGCTTCACAGGTGAGTCCACAGGATGATCAATTGATTATTATGAATAATTAAATGAATGATTATTAATTGCAGCCCTCATTTGACTGATGAGGCGAACTCGAAGATTTATGGGAAGTGCAATAATTACTGGGGACACGGCCACAATTACAGTAGTTAGTGTACTCCATTGGATAATTAAATAAAAAGATGAAAGATGTTTATTCATTTATTTATTTTTGATGCATTCTCATTTTTTTCTAGTCGAGGTAACAGTGAGAGGCCCCGTCGATCCAAAAACTGGAATGGTTATGAATATCTCTGATCTCAAGGTTTACATGCACAAAGTCCTGATGGACCAACTGGACCACAAGAATATTGATAAAGATGTCCCTCATTTTGCAAACGTCGTTTCAACAACCGAAAATATTGCTATTTACGTTTTTAATGAATTGAGGCGAATTATGCCTGACCCTTCGTTGCTTTACGAAGTTAAAATTAATGAAACTGATAAAAACATGGTCATTTACAGAGGGGAGCAATAACTCAATTATAATTTCAATATTACATTCAACCCCAACTCGATGTTGAACCCTGGTGATCAGTTTATAAAAAAACAATTATCAAATAACAAGTAAATTTGACAATTCCAAATTGGTTAGCAGAAGTAATTTTTTTTTTTCGTCCAATCGCCGAAAATTTATCAAGAATGTGTGTAAGGAGATTAATTTCGAATTTCCGTGGGAGATGTATAAAATCAGTTATCATTATTCGGAGACAATTATTACCTTGAATCGGTATTAGGAACTTCATCAGCGGTTGTAATCTGTAAAATTACTCGGATTGAGACGAATTTCAGGTGCAGTCATGTAATCTTTAATCTCGTAGTGCAAGCAGTCTGAAGATCGATTCGGAATAATCTAGAAGTATGGTGATAAGATTCTTACCTTTGGACCAAAAGTCTTTCCGACCTTCCGCCTTTTTTCTTTTCGCTCTCTGGTCTTCGGTATTGTTACAATTTCTCATTATTATTATATTCTGGATAAGAATGTACGCCCAATCAATTAACCGAAGAACTACCCCCACACTTGCAAGGACAACTAATGTATTAAAATACTTAATGGTAGCAGGTAAATTATATTTTTCACTAAAAAAAACGGATTCACGCAATCATCGACGTAATTTTTTATATTTTTCGGCAATTAAGGAATTAACTCAACATACTACATTATACTTTAATAATAGAAGGAAGATGCAGGGAATAAGTCTTTCATGAGTGTACAGTGGGTTTTCTACTTTAAAAAATCTGTTCATCAGATTGTATATTCAAGGATCTCTCCATTCGTGTACTATAAATATATATAATATAATAATAAATGATAATATCGTTTATAAATGAGAAATGAAATTTTGTGGCACATGAAGGTGGTATTTTTGCGTTTTACAGAGAAATTGTTAAGGAGTGGCCAAACGGAAAATCCGGATTCAAGAATTTTTAATATGCCACGACGAAATACCAAATGTCGACTGCACATATGATGTAGTCAATAAGGCAATTGAAGACTGATGATGAGTACTCGTAAGAAGTACTTTTTTTAAAAATGAACTTTTAAAATTCTAGTAATACTGATAAGAATAATAATAGATGTATATATAAATAATATTGGAATGCTCAAAGGATTGAAAAAAAAAGAATAGAATTTTTTCACATCCGCCTTGGGGTGGGGCTTTGAATTTGCGCGCCTTTCGCTTGTATATATATTCATATAGATCCGTAAAGCTGGCAACATGACAAAATTGTTCCAGCAAGCCTGATATATCTGTTTGGAGGGTTTGGAGCAGCCGTCATAAATCGAAGGAGACATTGGAATTGTACAAAAATTTGAGTGAAAAATTTATTCCAGTGATAGCCCGAGTTAATTGGAATAATTTAAAAAATGGGGCGACGTTCGATTAATACCACTAAAAGTGGGAAGTACATGAATCCTACTGATCAAGCTCGTAAGTTCATTATCATAACCTATTATCATTTACAAAATTATTTACCAATTTTTATTCTGGAATTTCACATGATCTGGGGGTAATTTCATGAATTTTTTCCATTTTTTTTCAAATAGGAAAGGAAGCTCGTAAGAAGGAACTCAAGAAAAACAAAAAACAACGACAATTAGTGCGAGCAGCAGTTCTCAAGGGCAAGGATCCTGCCCAGATCATCGAGGAGATGGAAAAAATTGATCAAATGGGTATGGAAATAATTTCCAAATGTCATTCCGTGTTTCGGTAAATAAATCATCTAAATTTAACAATTCTATCATTCGAATTGTTGACAGAGTATAATGTTATGCAGCCACCTCCCCTCAACGAGAAAGTACTGAAAGATAAAAGGAAGAAGCTGAAGGAAACGTTAGACCGAGTGCTGAAAATGTATGTAAGTAGTAATTAGAGAAATCATTGAAATAAATTATTTCGCCGAATACATAAATTCTTCTGAGTAAATTGTTTGTTGAAAAGTCGAAATAAAAATAACTTCGTAATGATTTTGCATAGAAAATTCTACATTTCAGGCTAAAGATGATCACGAAAAATGGGCGGAATTGAAGGAGCAGTTGATCCAGTATGAAAGACGACGAATTGATCTAGTTTCTTACTTCGAGGCTGTCAAACATGCCCAACAGGTTCAAGTCGATGAGATTCCATTGCCTTCTCCGAATTCTGAAATGTCCAGAATATTTCCAGGTAACTGGCCAACCCTATAATACCATTACCTAGTCATGTTAATGAATTGACAAATGAATAAATTGAAATGAAATTCTTACAGGAGCCATGACATCGCAGATTCCCCTCCCCGATTTACCCCAACCCCCTGCCCACATGTACCCCCCACATTCTCATTATATACCTCAACATCATCCTTTATTGACAATCCCTATACCCCCTAGTATTCTAAAGAAAACGAGTGTCTATTCCTCTGCCACAACGGCATCCACATTAATTCCCAGTAAAGAACCTCCTGGAGTCCCTCCATATCCACCACCTGACATATCCTATGATGATGAAGATTCATCAGACAAATCAATAAATGCAACGCAAAAGTCTCGAACAATTCGATTTGCCGATGACAAAGACGAAAGTAAATCATCAGAAAAGGATCAGAATTCACAGAAAGATAAGAATCAAGATAGAGAATTGGAGAAAGTCAAGCCGACAACATTACAACAGAAAATGTTGGCGATGGCTGGACAGGACATAGATCAATTCATGCGTGAGATGGAGGTAGTCCACAAAAAGAGAGAGACCGAGAGAGCGCAAGATTTGAATGCCAGATTGTCTTTACTAGATGCTGACTCCGACGGAAAGTCCTCAAAGGTGAATAATGGACAGGAGAATGAAAAGTCGGAGGCATCTGAGTTGTCTGGGGAGATTAATCGATCTACCCAGAGTTCTCAACAATCGACGATACATTTGCAGCAGCAGCACGGATTACCACCGATGGGCATGCCTCCACCACCATTACTATACCGACCACCTCCACCTCCCATGCACCTGCGGATGCCACCACCACCACCACCGCGAATGGGATTACGACTACCACCAGGACCACCGCCTGGCATGCCACGATTACTTCGACCAGGACCACCCAGCATGCCCCGTATGCCACCACCCATTCAAATGCAGATTCACAATCTCTCGGGTATGCAAAATCTCTCAAACTCTCACATGCAATCTGTCGGTGGTGGCAATACCGCGCAATCGAAACAACCCAATGTCCTATCAGCTGCACCTCAGCTCATAAATAGAAATGATAAAGATGGCAAGAGCTCTACGACGATCGAGGCGAAACCTCAGATAAGGAATTTAGCTGCTGATGTCACGAGATTTTTACCAACGTCACTCCGAGTAAAACGTGAGGACAAAAAGAAAGCAGCGAATAACACTGTCACCAGGTTACCGGACAGAACTCCCGAAATTCATGCTGTTAGATCCATACAGCCTAAAACTAAAGACGATGCATATATGCAGTTTATGCAGGAAATGGAAGACTTGCTGTAATTATTACATTCAAGGAACCATTGTCATTCTGTAGATTTTCATATGAGTCATCTATAATCAGCAACTGATTATTTTTTTGATCGTCAATTGCAATCGAGTATGTCATGTTGGAATTTCGTAATAAAATAATCATTAAACGAAATTGTGCATTCATTTTTTGGACAAATAATCGATCTTTATGAATATATATACTGAAAAAATTATTATGATTTTTGGTTTTTAACGTGATTTTGAAAAATAATTATTTCGAATAATTAGAATTAAACTCTGGATGAACGTAAATTTATACTTGAGTTAATAATAATTAATTCTCAATTTTATGAGGACGTTTGTAAATCCATACTGTATCGACGCCCTGACCAACTATTTGGACCGGTTTCAGGTTCGGTAGGGGAAATCGACAGGCAATAATTGTGCTATTATCTTTCAATTCCGTCATGAATTTTTGTTCGATCTCTTCCATCTGAAAATTAATATAAAACTGTCAATTAAAAATGACAAATTATTATGATTATTCGAAGTTGAAAATAATAATTAATTACAACAATTAGGAGGACGTTGAAACAATGCGAATTTACCATTTGTGGAACTCCAAAAATTATGACATTGTTGTAACTAGTCAAATCGAATTTCAAGAGATCTCGTCGATAAAATTTCGTTCTATCCGCCATCCCTCGAAAATAGGCAGCCAATCTCGAATACATGACTAGCCACAGATTCAATTCAACTCCGCAAGCTTGGAATCCATTGCAGGCGGCAGCGAAAACCTTGAAGAAGTGTCAATTCAAAAATGAAAAAAATTGTTGCAATTTTTTCTAAGGGTGATGAACATTTGATGATAATTTACTCAAACCCCTCAGAAAAAATTGAAAGGGTCCGGTGAAACGATAAAATTTCAGATTTAAATTAAATACAAATGTTCGATCAAGAAAACATTCAAGTCAACCGTTTCGCCATGAATTAATTACTCACTAATCGACCGTCCCCACTTCCCAGATCAATGAGGTTTCCAGTTCGTCCTTTGAGTGCCTGGAGGACATTCTCCACTTGCTGAGAAGTTGCCGGAACATAAGGCAGGCATATTCTCCTCAAAGCCGGACTCACGAAGGGAATACATATGACACTCAAAGCCACTCCAATTCCACCTGCGTATTTTTAAAAATCCATAAATTAAAGATTCAGTAAATAGTGAGAAAAAAGTATTCCATGATAGTAAATAGCCCTGTTACCTGGAGGTATTTACTGTACCTGTCAGGCTAATCAAAAATATTCCTGTTCTCGATGGGGCATGCAATGTTTCACTGGACATAATTTTTAAGGTTAATTGGGCAGCCCAGGGTGAATTACCGGCGATTTTCAGTTCAATGATTTGAACTTTACCGCGGATTTTCAATAAATTATAGAATGCATATTAAAATTCTCGGATATCTCGTTGCTTTTAACAATGTAAAGACAAACAAATGAAGGTAATGACGGCGCATGAGCCATTATTCCACCAGAGCCTCTTCTGAATTCTGAGGAAGCACGTCAAGGTATAGTGCAACGGTTCAACTTTTTTTATTGCACTAACAGTAGAATAAATTCATCTTCGGTAGTTCGCTGAGAAAACACCTCATCAACATCGAGTATCGTGTTCGTTTTCATGATTGTCAATAAGTAGAAATCGTCGATCGAGTTTGATTGTTTCTGGAATGTTTTTAAGTTCAGACTATTAAACATAAACTGTAACACTATTATTGATTGAGAACGCTTGCCAGTAGAACAATTAACGTATGAAGAAGTTTCATCTTGCATAAACAGTTGGTTCGGTTCACTGTTCTTTAAACAAATTCCTGGATAATTGTCCATAACCCTGAGGGTTGATCAACTCATCGTCCAGTTGTTCCAGGGGTTAAATACGATTTCAGTGAAAAAGACATTGTCTTCACTCCGAAAATAACATGACAATGAAGATAGGACTATTGAAGAACTTCCTCCACTGCTTCAGTTTGAAGCAAGGCACAATCCTAATTGCAATTTTGCAACTAGTAAGTTGTAAAATTAATCAATTTCATGAATTTGCAGTAACTCGCTAATGAATTAACATTATTGATGAATCACGTTTTCTTTGATATTAGTTCATATCTGGAATTGTGATGACATTTTTCCTCCTCGCTCTGGCACATGCGATGGACATTCAGGAAATGGTAGCAAGAGATTCTGAGGATGCCTTGGAGCGTGAGGCCTTGGAAGAAATGTCCTCGATGCATCTGAACACGAAGCGAATGGACATTGCTCATCACAATGCCACCGGTATCACAGTTTATTTTTATTTTTCTTTCATTTTTTTTTTTCGGAGACACTGAATAGTAATTAAATTCCAGAGAAAGTTTACTCCATGTACTGTGGACTCGTAATCTCAGTGCTGCATTTTATCTCGACGGTTCTATTGCTCTATGGAGTTTTAATTGTGAGTGAAATTCGTTGAAATAGTTTTTTGGTACTCGGCTGAAAACGGAAATTCCGTTACAGCCTTGTGACAAAATTTATTACTTTAGAGAGTTAAAAAATTCAGTGGCAATTGGTTCTTAATGGATTTATTTTCCAGAATCATCGACAATTCATGGCCCCGTGGTTGATGATCATGATGACGACCATAATCACACTAATTCTGTCTCTATTTCTTGTCCAACAAGACTGCCCATTTATCGCAATCCTTGGAGGCAAAGCAGATATGACTGATCGTACGTTAAATATTATAAATTTCCACTTCCCCAATCCATGTCGTTTTCGATGACATCATTTTTGCCAATATTAATGAGTACCACAAAAATTAGCCTGTGAAAAAATGATATTTTTGTAAATATATTTTTAAAAATCCTTGTTATTCTCAAAAGGATAATCATGTTATATAGATATTAAGAATTCAAATATTAAGAAATGTAAACGTTTCCTTGCAGGCATACTCGTCTTATTTATGGTCGGCATAAGTCTGTACATCTGGTTTGCCGTATATAGCACCTACAAGAGTCTAGAGTCTAAAAAAAATGGTCTAATTCATGAAATAGATCCCATAAAGAAGCAAAAATATGCACTAACTCCTGGTGAAGGAACCAGCAATGGAAAAGTTCGTCTACATCTGGGCACACAAATTCCTTATGAAGTTTAGGCGTTTTTGTAATATCAACAATTAAGAATTATCGATTACTATTCCTTTGATCGTTCATCTGGCACACAACCTTGTAGATCCATTTTTTGTTAACTCAGCAAGAATTTATCCTCAATTTTCTTAATTATCAACTACTAACTAAAGAGATCACACTATTATCATAACGTCAGTAAATTATTTTTCTCGATGAAAAATGCGCACGGAATGTTAATGAAATGGGCGCAATTTTTTGGAAACGATAATAAATCTTTGATACGCAGAGCAAGACTTGTAATCGCGCACGTAGATATATTTAGGAAAATAATAATATGTGTAAACAAGTGTATCAATGCGGATTCGATACTGCACAATCATTTATACTAGGACAAGCAATTTATTCCTTAGCTTAAATAAAGACTGGAGAATGGTTTCTTTCAATATTCTGCATGATTACAAAGGTGTAGTTTTAAGGTTCTTGCCATGTGATAAAAGGAATTTTATAACACATAAATTATGGCACTAGGATTCGTAATCTTTTTTATATTTAAATTATTTATTGTTTTTAATAGATGTGTATTTCTATTGCAGAATCTAGGCAGAATGGCTGATAGTTCCGTTATTAATTCAGTAGATTAAATGTATACGATTTGTTTATTTAAAAGACTTAAAGTATTTTTATCAGATAGAAGTAATTAAGTTTTACTAAACTCATGACAATTACGGCATTCATAAAGTAGTCATTTTCTCCTGTGTATATCTATTATCAGTGTTTAATTAAATTATTAAGAAAGCTTCGATGATTTAAGCTTCAAAAATTATTCCATTAACTGTTCCAGACGGTCAAGGGTACTGGTGAGTTTATTGCGAACGGAAATCTGTTCTCAATTTTTTAATAAAACTTATCTGTGAACTCATAAGTTGACCGGTTCATCTATAACTATCAAATAATTGTATATAACGAATATCTTCTCTCGACAGAGAGAGTACGAATGATAAAATTCACGGGATAAAATTAAATTACTTTCTATGCAGTCGATTATGTCCATTGAATCTAACCAAAATAAATTCAGTAATATCATTGACTATATGTTTTGAGAGACTTTGGATGAGACTTATAATTATAATAATCTATGTCTAGTTAATGCGTATCGTCACAACTCGTACGGTCATCATAATCTCAGGTAACAGAGACTCTTACTCCTTCATTAATACATCTAGTTCGCGACTACAGTGCGACCCATCGCGAAACTGCTCGCAAAATATATTCTCTAAAAATTATACGTACGATAACAACAGACAGTTCAATGTTCATTGCGTTCTTGATCCCGTCCCGCTAGTCCTTTCTTTGGGTTGTACTTAACACTTATTAACCCACTTTTTTTTTCTCGTAATTGACACTGCACAGAAAATCTAAGGTAAAATAATTTTTTATAATTCGATATAGTTCTTTATTCAGTCGCTTTAGGATTCCGAGTCGGGTCACATTTTTTCGTCGGTCATGTCAAGAAATTGCGCGTAGAAATCTCGGGTGCATTCGCCTTTGTTGTTGAACACAAATTTATAATAACTCCCATCTGCACAAATTACTGTAACAAGAAGAAAAATTATTTTCTTTATTCTCATGATCATTGGGTGAAAGTAAATGGTTTAGTTGGTTGGATTAGTGTATTGATGATTGGCAAATCGACCTTAAAACAACGCCGTAATTAAGGTTTCTTCTTCACCTGTGAATAATTCGTAGACAAGTAAGACATTTTTGTATTCTTCCATTGCTCGGGAAGATTTCTTCCTGGTACTTCTGGGACAGATATTGCCTCCTCATGAGCCACCTCAGAGCGTTTTTTTTTAATAAAGAAAGCCTTTTTTTTTAATAACGAAAGCCTCTTTTTTTTTAATAAAGAATGCCTTGTTCTTACGGACTTGAATGAAATTGCAACAAATAGATAAGAGAATGCGCCAAGCCGTCAGAGCTTATGCAAAATACATCAAGGGTTTAATAATAAGACATACCTATAATACTATTATTGATGCCAAACGCGCACATACATTGGGAACCACCTGGTACTTGAAACTTGCAGAAACTCCAGCTGGAGCTGAAGTACTTTGGCAGGAAAGTGGCAGACGCAAGACTCGACTGGCGGTTCAGTTTTTGATCTTCAACGGCAAATACATGGACTGTTCCATGATCACTGGCTACACATAGCCATGTGGAGTCCTGATTGAAGTTTATACTAGCATAAAGATCAAACCATTTGGTATTAATGCATAATATGCCCGGGATTTCCTTCCAAAACCCCATTTTCATTGCGAAAATTCATTTCAGGATCGTTTTCATCACTAGAAATTATTTACCAGTAAATATTGGCATGATTAGCGCCACGTCGCAATTCATTGATCATATTCCCACTCTGAGTGTCGAAAACACGAATCAAAGTTCCTTTTTCCGAAGCTGTAGCTAGTCTTGTTCCTTGAAGATTTAGAGCAATACACGATAATGGTGTTTCATGAGCTTCAATATTCAACGGTTGCTTCTCAGTATTTGCCAAATCAACTACTGCAATGACAACATAAATCTGAGTATTGGTGGGTTCAAATCAAACTAAACAACATCAAATAATACTCGTTACATTTGAAATTAAATGTATCTTACTTTGAACGTGACCATTTTTCCTCCCAGGAAAAGCGAGAAGGGAGTTATCACTGTTTGGACATAACACACACAGCCCTCGCGGATTCGAATTGGTCTCAAACACATGGAGTTGCACTGGATTTTGGGTGAACGTATAGACTTTAATGACACCCTCTAAAATAGCTACTATCCTGTCTCTTCTTAATTTAACACTTTTCACTGGGGCATTGAATTCTAAGGTGATCGCCGGTATTTTTTTCAGGTCATCCCATATCACAACTGCAAATTAAATAGATGAGAAATTTAAGAACTGCATTCAGATTCAGATTATTGTAAATTAACATCGCTCGAATTGTTCTTCTCGCTATAACTATAGCTCTCGATGAAACGGAGACAGGGACATTGTTATAAAGGTGAAAGTTGCTCTTCTTGCGCTCAAATAGATTCATGAAGAGCTTATTGTCAAGACTTGTTCTTACACTGAATTACAATAATTTATCGATTATTCACTGAATTTGCATTACTATCAGCAATAAGCTCTCTTTACCTCTATTCGCTGGATGAATAGGTTTACTACCCCCTCCCACCAGTGCAAGATAATTACACCTAAAAAGCATCTCTACGTATCCAAGTCCTCCATCATTGAAGTCATGCCTCTCCTTTTCTTTCAGAGGGTCACAGTTGTAGACTCTGTAGCCATTTTCCATCCCACAAGCAAAGCATCCTAGAATAGTCCAATCAAACAAATCATTATAACGCAGGAATTAGTTAAAACAAACATTTTTTTATTTGTTTTAAAGTATTCAATTATAAAGCCGCAAAGAGGTACAACACCAGTTTGAACGTAGAGTAACTTGAATTCAAGGCTCAGTTTGAATGAATACGTCAGAATTGGAGAAAAATAAAATATAATGAAAAGAAAATATGAAATATAAAGAGTAACCTAGGAATGATTCAGTAATTTGTCCTAAATTGAGAGAAAAGCTGCAGAACTTGGGCTGGCAATTAAGTTAATGCGAATCATGCGATTGCTTCCCATTCCTGAATTTAACTCAATCGATTTTCCTGGCCCGAAGGATAAACAAAATTTTATTTCATATTCCCGAAAAGAAAAAAGATATTTCACTATCGGATTAAACTGCATTGGAGTAATGATGCAATGTCAGGTTAGATTCTTCACCGAAATCAATAGCTGGAGTATAGTACAGATGTTTTTTGTTATAAAGTAGTTGAAGACATTGAAGAAGGAAAATTAGATGCATGTCGTACCTTGATCTTGATTGAAACCGGCATAAATAAGGCCGTTGGCATGCGGATTGCCCGCAGTCAGATTCATCTTTTACTTCATAAACAATTGCAGCAATCGGTCCAACGCGAAATCATGAAGATAAACTCAATCTATGTATATTCACCAGAGTATGAATACGCACCGCTGTCATACGTAATATATATATATGTATCGGTATATAGGTACAAAAGGCCCTAGAGGACACAGCATACTGCCTGACTCTGCATGTGTGGATCTTTTACACGACATACATACGTCTTCGACTTCCGGCGTCATTTTAGTCCTCTACATGAGACACGTAGTATTTTTTACCTCCAATTCGTATTTTTGGAATTTCGCGGTAAAATCAGGTATGCACTTTTACTAAAGGCGCAAATAATCCACACCACGTTTTTCAAACCATTCAGTACATTCATTACAGCACAAACAATTCACTATTAAGGTTCACATCTCCCTTAATTTCGGTGATATTTTCAAAAATATTTTTTCCAGCTTTCTTTAAAATAATACAATCAAGATGATTCCATGAAATTTATTAATGTATACGTAATGACTCTGAAATAAATATTCAACATTAAATTCATCAATTTTTTAACAATAAAATATTATCATTGCAATACCACCGAGTAGATGAATATGCGCATTGAAATAATACAAGTAATATTAATTGTGCGTGGTATTGGCTCTCTGGAGTTCATTGGAGTGTCTAGCATGATTCACTAATGATTCAACTCGATTTGCAGTCTCCCTAACAACATCGGATATTTCATCGGAGAAATGGGGCAATTGATCAAGCGTTGGAATGTGTGCAGACAATCTCTTGTACATGGAATCCCTCTGTCCATCCTTTTTATTTCTCCTCTGCTCTTCAAATTTCAACTGCTGCTTAAAATGCATCGCATTTTTTATGAATTCAATTGTGTTTCCAAAACTTTTCTCCGCATCTTGCATTGTTTTAACAGCACTGACAGCATATTCAACGTCATAACAACGTCCTTGCAATTGTCGTTGAAGTGCAAGTACCTCTACACGTTTTTCTACCATCGGGGGCAATGCCTTCCTCACATGTTCCTGCAGCCGATAGAACGCTAGTGACGGCTCGTTGGCTACGATGTGCATATTCTCAGATATTCTCTCAGTGGCTGAAAAATAATTGTATTTTAGTTTCCCATTCATCGTATATCATAACCACAGCTTCAAAATTCCTGAGTATTTCCCGATGGATTTACTCCAGATGCAATACCTCCTCCCCCTGCCATGGTCGCTATGCATTGGATTCTATGTATGTGGGGGGTGGGAATCCGAATGTGATGGTCATTTTCTCGACCCATTGGGCAATCGTTTAGTATAAATAACTTTATCCCCTTCTTTAGTGAAAAATAATTTTATCAGAGAACTAACAAATAAAAAAATAAAAGTTCAGACGTCTGTTATAGATCTTCCCCTCACGATCAAAATAGTTTCTGAAACAACGAGAGTAACTAACCTTTCTTCACACGGGTCTCCAGCTCATGATCGGTTTGATAAACTTTAGTCGACATTATTGCATTGTATTAATAATTAACAATAGATATTGAATTCAATAGTTCGTCCAATGTCAATCCAAACGAAACGGAATAATTGTTAATGCTCCAAATTCGATAAACATTGCCCTCGATACGTGCACGTCCATCATCAGCTGATTGTTTGACATCTACAGTCAGAAGGCAGAAATTCAAAAATCGGGATGACAAGAACATCGGAGTAAAAGATTCATTCTGATGGAAAAAACAGAATGGAATTGTCATAATCATCTTTTCATAGAAGGTAAAGAGCAGAATGAATACTTTATCATTTTTTCTCAAGTGTTAAATCTTTTTTCAGTTGATAATAGTATTATTTAAATTTTCACTTTGTAAATATGACATTTCTCCTAAGAATTCCACATTTTTTCTCATTTGAATTTCTTACCAAATAAGACCATTAAAAATGGAAAATTCCAATTATCTGATTTTACCAATTTGTACAAATGTTTTGTACAAATAATAAATTACATATATTATCAGATATAATTCGAATTATTATAATTATATAAACAGCCTATTTCTTTTCTTTTTAGATGGATAAATCAGTTCTGGATATAATGCGTCATTTTAATAAAATGATCTTATGAAACCTATAAAAGAATTAATAACTTGTGAATTCTTAATTTTGAAGAATTCTTAACATTTCCTTGAATTCTTTATATTCAATGCAATAATTAAATAATTTTTAATGAGTGTATTATCCTAGATCCCTCTGTATTTTCCCCTGTACAAGTGCGTGGATTGAATTTGATTTTCCCGCCACATAGCGACGAACCGGATGTTCAGATTGTCCGGAAGTTACGCGTGGTTCACGAGATTTGTTTCAGCGCCGAAACGTGGCAGAATTGAAGCGCTAGTTGGCACCATTTTAACCAAAATTTTCACGTTCACAAATAGTTCATTCGGCTGCTCCATTCGTGCTTGTCGTCAAAAATTATCTGTTCCTTTTTAAGTGAGTATTTTCCCATAATTAATTAATAGCACTCGGTATTTACTCTGAGTGAAGTCTGCAAAGCCCCATTTTTCTCCATTATTCCAGTGATTACAGAAGATAAAATGATTCCGTTATATTTACGCTAATATTTTACCCCAAAATGCCGATGAAAAATTAACCAAAATATTTGATCGATTCATCCAACATATGACATTAATCATGCCATGTTTTTCTCATTATTTTTATGATTTTCAACAGATAAATATGAAGAATAGAAATTATAGTAATTATACTCTCTAATCAATAATTCGAGTTTCGATCGATTTTGACGATTTATAAAATCTTTGAAATTAGTATGCATTTGTACTTTTTTGGAACGTTGAATTAAATATATTTCCATAACACAAATCCTTCTGAAAATTATCTTAAATATTCAGGATTTCTATTGCCTTTTTTTTCCCTGTGCATGACACATGAAATATCATAGATTTGATGATCTGAAGTCTATTTATTACTTGACATTTTCCATTCTTTTTTTCAGGATGAAATTTCACATCTTTTCTCTGGTGATTGTCACCCTTTTGGTGACAGTCTGTGCTGATGAGGAACCAGAAGCCGCGAGATTGTTAGTGGCTAAGCAGATACTCAATAAATACCTCGTAGAAAACATGGATATCATCGTCAAGGTATTTATCTCAGAAAAATTCTCCTTTCTATAAAATTTCAAATTCTTCAGCTCCAAAAACAATCAATCCTTATTATCTTCAATGATCGACTCATTCTAGATAATTATCCAGTTCAAATAATCTGTAATTCATGATTTTTGTGGGCATTCAGTGGATAATAAGAAAATAAAACTCAAAATTAATTTCTATTTTTTTTAAACACCTTTTCAGTATACAGTTCATAATGTGGGTAGTGCAGCAGCTCTAGAGGTTGAGATAACCGACAACTCTTTCCATCCAGACAATTTTGCGCACGTCAGCGGTGAATTAAACGCAAGAATTGATCGTGTCCCACCGAACAGTAATGTCAGCCACACTGTTGTCGTTCGTCCAAGAAAATCCGGTTACTTCAATTTCACATCCGCTGAGGTACTTTACCGTCGCACTGAGGATGCACCAAGGCTTCAGGTTGCTGTCAGCAGTGCACCAGGAGAAGGTCTCATTGTATCGTACAGAGATTATGCTAAGAAATTCTCATCACACGTGGTAATTAATTCCTGTTCTATGACATCCTCATACATAAATCAGACGACTTCAATTTGTTGAAATCTTCACATGAATCATTTTCAGGTCGATTGGGCAGCGTTTGCAGTAATGACTCTTCCTTCACTTGCTATTCCTTTCGCCTTGTGGTACTCAAGCAAAAGCAAATACGAAAAATTGGCGAAAGCATCGAAAAAACATTGAGAATACTTCCATTGTACAGAAGAAATGTAAACAACAAGAGCCACAACAAAAATCCTGTTAATTTTTTTAAAATATATTCATACTGGATGATTGTGAGAGCGAATGACTGTACTGCCTGATATTTTTTAATAAAAATTATTTATAAATACCGAGTAACAAGAGACTCTGCAATGAGTTATTTTAATTATTCTTTTCTCTGAATAGAAAAACAAAATTAATGCAAGTTTAATCAAAAGAATATTACAGACGATAGGTTTTTCTTTTGTTCTATAAGAGGGAAGGAATTTGGAATAAAAACTGAAACGTATCTATTGGATAAAAAATATATTCTACAATTTTACAGTAATTTGAGATGTGCAGTGAGATCTTCCACGATACTATTAGGTCCCGGCCCAATGCCCAGAACTGAAATAGTTCCAGGTTCCAACTGAGTCTTGCCAGCATCTCTAATAATGACTGCAGTAATTCCACGAGTCTTGACTTGATCGGCTAAATTCTTGAGTTTTTCTTCACTGGTGATCTTTAGAATAATTTTTGGTTGTCCCAAAAAAAACCAGGTATCTAGAATTTCTTTATTATTTTTTCTACTAGAGCATCGTTGCACACACTCGACTGCAGCATGAGCACATTGAGATGCTGTTTTTCCTCGGCCCATTGCAATATCACTTCTCACAACTAAAACCATTTTACAGTGCTCTTTAGGAAAACCGTTTGTAATTAAATACTTTAACCGTCTTATAATATAACTCATTATATTGTGTTAATGCAGATTATTTATTTGTGCCCTGCTGCTTGTTTTTTCTGGTATTCTCCCATGCATACTTTGAACTTCTGAACCTGATCCTGACACTTACGCCAATCTTGAGTCTCTGCTATACAGTCCTAGAACACAAAAATTGGCTTTATTTGTTTGACTTCTGTGGCAATATTATTTTTAGCGAAATATTTGATTAGTTGTAGCATAAATTACTATCGCGTAATTCATGGCTAAATTCATGTTTTCCTCCCTAATTTTTACTCCATTTTGAGAATGAAGAATTGAACTATTACACAAGCATTGGTTAATTACCTGAACCTCATAATGAAGCTCGATACATCCAGTTTTTTTCAGCATTCGCTCAACGGGATCAATATCTTCCTCAGCTTCCACGTCTTTGGAATTCGTCATGTTATTCTACAAATTAATATTTAATTACTTCATAATCACCGGTGTATCATCAGCACTTCCAGAGTACATGTGCTAATTAGAGGCTGCACTCTCACGGCGAATCTGTCGTTATTATGAATTGTTCCCCATAAAATGTTGCAAGGCCGATTAGTAAATAATAAGGATTGACTGAAGTAGAGGCTCAGTTCTGGGGGTTTGAGTGACCCCAGCGGCATCGTAGTACTGCACCCCGAGAGAGGGAGGGCGCCACACGCAATGAGGGGGTGTTTTTTTTTATTAATCAAGTTTTTATTGCAATGCGGGGGTGTCTATCAAGTCAACGGGGTGAATTTTATTTTCTGCGGTATGAATGCTTTTTGTTTTTTAATTGTTTAACTGCAATTTAGCCGACTGTAAAACGAGCGGAAGGGGGAAGCCACATCTTGTGGAATTTCAAATGAAAAAATTATTTAATATATTGAACATATACTACTAATGAAATTATATTTTCATAATGAGCGCGTTGTCTAATTGGCAACGCGCTTGACTGGCACGCCGACGGTGTGGGTTCGATCCCGCCGTCATTCATTTTTTTTTTAAATAATTCTATTTTTATCTTTTGTAAATGGCTAATAAATCGAAATATTATTTAAAAACTGAATAGCTCCTTGATTTTCATGTTCCCCTGATACCCTTTCGAAAATTTCGAATTTTCAAATTTCAGTGAATAGCTCCTCGATTGTCATGTTCCCCTGATACTTTTTCAAGAATTTCGAATTTTTCAATTTTAGTGAATACCTCCTCGGTGATCATGTTACCCTGATACTTTTTCAAAAATTTCGAATTTTTCACTTTCAGTGAAAATTTCAGTGAATAGCTCCTCGATTGTCATGTTCCCCTGATACTTTTTCAA